ACTTCCCAGAACTACACACAGGGTTTACAATACAATAATTATATTCTGTCTTAAATTATATTATCCTTAAGTTAACAATTCTATAACATCCTTTAGCTCTCTTCTAAACTGACATATTAAACATCATTATTACAAATTATTTAATTTTAATAAAATATACTACATTAACAATCACAAATTTACTCAAAAACCAAATGAACTCTCTCCTCTGCTTTGATCAAAGTGATGGACAGCTGCCCTGTCTGGACTCCCTGCTTGGGTCATCAGCGGGAAGAGAACACTTTGGATACCCTACAAAAAAATTTGGGTGAAGGCTTTGCTCTCAGCAAGAAAGGAGTGGGCTGAGGATGACACCTTCTGTTCTTGCTGTCCAAAACAGTACATGTTCCTTACACTGGGACAAGCAGGAAATACAATTTAGCCCAAAATACAAGTCCTGGATTTCCCATTTTCTCTTTTTTTCTTAACAGCTGTAGAATGTCCTCCTCCAGAACCAATAGAACATGGATTCATAAACCGAGCTCTTCGTGATGTTTTTTATTACCAAGATACTGTGAGTTATGGTTGTAATCCACCTTATATTATGGATGATGCTTCAGAATCAAGGTGTGAGAAAACAGGAACTTGGTCAAATAAACCAACTTGCAAGGGTAAAATAGCATGTATTGTATTTGTTCAAAATATCTTAACAATGTATATGAATGTTCATAATGGTTAAGCCAGTTTATTTAACAATAATAATATCTGAATTCACAATAACAATATCTGAATTCACAAATGATGAAGAGGGACACAGAATGTTTAATAAATCTACAAATGACACAAAATGGGAAGTATAGCTAATAGCTTAGGAGAAATAAATTTCACATGATCTTGATAAGTAGAAAAACTGAGGTGAAAGTTACATAATTGAATTTAGTAGATTAGTAAAAAAACTTCACTTAGGAAGTAAAATCAAATGCATAGAAATAGAGATAGAAGTATCTGGCTTGGTAATCATTTTTATTTTAAAAGATATTGGAACAGCATTGACTGTATATTGAATACGAGTTAGCAGAATGATAAGGCTAGAAAAGCAATTTTTAATGTATTTATTATAAGTAATTTTTAGATACTTTAGTCATTTGATTCGGCTTGATTCTACTGTGGTCAGACTTAAGTACCGTTTCTGAGCATCACTTTTAGGATAGATACAGGACAAGTTCGAAGAAGTAAAGGGGTGACATCAAAGGACTAGAAATTAAATTGGGCAAGGAGAGAATGAAAGAACTGGGCATGTTCAGCCTTGAGAAGACTAAGGCTTCTGAAAGGATGCCACACAGAAGAAAGTCAAACTTGTTCCATTTTATTATTGAGTGCAGAATATGTAATAGTGGATTTAAAGCTATAGGAAGCTTAAAAAATTAAGTTTTTTTCTGACAGTATAAAAACATGTTTAGTTATTTACTATTTATTTTCCATCAGAATCCACAGATCCCTGATGGCTTGCAAATATAAAAACACGAAACAGAATCTATAGGCGCCTGAGAAGGGGAGGGGCATTTTTTTTCCAAATATTTCTACCCATCCAGCCTGAGCCAACAGATTGGATATACTGCAAATCCCATCAGCCGAAGAGTTCAGAGTGGCAGGAACTAGAAGAGGGCCTTTTCCCACTGTAGCCCTTGCCTTATGGAATATTCTCCCCTCAGAGAACAGAATGGCCCCAACCTAGTGGGCTTTTCACAAAGCTTTTAAAGCTTGGCTATATGTCTGGGCCTGGAGCAGGGGATGTGTGTAAGGCCCCGTTACATGGCTTTACTATTAGCTGATTAATCATCAGGGCTGCTGTTTCTAATAATTTACTTTGTGGATGTCTTTTTGTTTTGTTTTATAATTTTAGAATTGTAAACCGCCCAGTGTCAGTAGAGTTGGGCAGCTATAGAAATTGAATGAATGAATGAATAAATGCAAGAATGAATGAAAGCACAATACAAAAAAAAAAATCAAGTCACCTACAGTGAACATTATAATAATCAAACCGCACAGATTAAGGCAATGTTGGCTTTCAAAGGTTGTGGAAAATCACTCCATTTTTACACTCTTTCAAAATGATGCTTAAGTTATCACTGGCTACCTCGAGAAAAATGCTAGTTCATAGGATGAGGACCCCAACTGAGATATTGCCAACCCTGGGTTCCCCCACCAGTCTCACTTCATTGGAGTGGAACCCATCACTATTCTCATCCAGGGCAACTGTACCAGATGGATTAGTTTTACCTGGAGAAGGTGATCTTGGAAGTACCTCAGAGTCAAAACCACTTAGAACTTAAAATAATAACAATCAAAACCAACCTTTGAACTGCAGTGTTTACACTATTTGTTTAATTTGGGTGTGATGACCCTTACCTATTGGCACCTAGGCTGCTACTTTCTGCATAAGCTGGAGCTTCTAAATAGTCTTCAAATGTAGCCAAGATAGCTGTGAGAAATGTGTTCCCATCTCCTTTAAGTATAGCAACTGAGTCCCCTCCCCCATTTGTCTCAGTCATTTTAAAGTATGAATCTTTCAGGTACAACATGTAAAGGTATACTTATATGACTAGCTGCTTTGGAACACACACGATATTAAAAAAAAGGGTAAAGTCTTTTGGGTGAGGCAGAAAATATATAAAGGAAGTTTTTAAATAGAGGTTTCTGTGGAAAACACACAATAAAGTTGAATAGCCTGCATTTGACCACTTTTACTTAATTTAGAAAATCACCCGTTAAATAAAGTAGTCAGACATTATATGATTGTTAACCAATTATTTTTTTCAAACTATGCTGTTTATGTTCCTTCTTCGTCTTCCCGTAGCACCATGTAAAATATCACTTACAAGAGCAACAGTGTTATTCAATGGACGGAAAATAGAAGTGAAAGAACTTAACAGTATACAACATGCCGAGACAATCTGGTTTTTCTGTGTAAGAAAAACAGAGAAGTGCAGTTATAAAACACCAGCTCAATGCATAGATGGCCGACTTTCAATCCCTGACTGTTTTGAAGGTATGAATATGTTCTTTTTTTGATTAACACGAGAACAGATGATATGACTTTTTCTACATTAATTTGGTTGGCATTGTGGGAAACATAAAATTACTGGAAACATCCAGAGGTTCCAAGAATGGTATGGGGCAAAAATGCCTAATAGAGAATGAAAATCAAATTCCATCCATCCATCCATCCCATTTTGGAACTGCCCATCTCCCTCATAGAGATTACATGAGATTTATGCCTAAACATCTTTGAAGCCACTGAGTATATAAGATACTTTTGCCTGAGTTTTGACCACTTAATCTGCGGATGTGAGGAGCTTCCCATCCCTTCCACAGTGGTTGTGATGTTATAGGAACATCATTTCCAAATACTGGTGCACTTGCTTCCTATTGCACCAATATAGTAAGAATAAAGTTTTCCTGCATTGGAGGGAAAAGGATATGAGAAATTAATATAGCTTTTACAGTAATCATACCCTGTTTCTAGATGGATTTCATAAATACAGGATGGCTCTCCCACTCCCCCACAAATCAGATGTTGAAGAAGCAACCATGTAAACAGAGGAGCTTTCCTAGAGCTAGATTGTGTGTTTACTAAATAAGGATCTTGACTATATAAATGTGTAACTTATTTTATACAGAACTTGGCTGGTGGGCATCCTTGTGGACAAAAGATCCAGCAAACATGACTCCATGTAGGAACTAACGGAAGATATCTCCCTGTCCTGCATGACGTATCAAAAAAGGAGTGCTTATAAATGGAGAATTCAATTTTCTTCAAGATTACAGCTATTTGAAATACAAACATATACTTTCAATCAATGACATACTTACACTTAAATTGCATACTCTCCTGATATTTTTGTCCATCACATTACTTTTCTGAATACATGTACCCAGCATATGTACAATTAATGCTCTTTTATCAAATATAAGGCAAACAATAATGCACTATTGTTTACTTTGACGGGATTCTTATTATTTTAATATTTTGCTTTGTAAATTAGTCTAAAACTACTAGATTGTTTTGTTCTATGATGCATAAAATACCCCGACACTTTTCTAGCTTTGATTTAGTAAAACATGCATAGACCCCAATTATGAAAATTTCAAGGCACTTTATAAAAATATATTTTCAATCAGTAACACTTCAAAGATGGTTAACTGACAACATTGTTAACCTCTGTGTGCCTGTGGGACGTTCCAGGGTCTTGAGCACCTAACAAGGTCAATTCCTCAATTCATAATCAGGCAAAACTAGGATTTGCAAGAAAAGCTGCTTTCTTGTATTGATCTTAACAAGCAGTTAGGATCATACTGAGCTAGTATCTTTTAAACATAAGTGTATTTATTTATAATTAAGATGCATAAGGCTGTCCAGCTCAACATTGACTCTGGCCCACATTAAAAACAGATACAAACTTAAAAATGATAAAATAAGTGAGAAACATAGTGGGAAAAACAAATATATACTAACTAAAACACATCCTGCTTGCCCCATAAAGGGAAAAAAATCAGCCTTTCAGATATTGTCCAAACCTCTGGAGGAAGGCTATTCAAAGGGATAAGTGCTGTGACAGAGAAGTCCTGCTCCCTAGATCCATCAAATAATTTCAGTCATTAGAAGAGAGGTCAAGCATATCTGCTGTGTTGGATCTTATGGGTCAAGGAGAAACGATGAGAAAGAGGCAATCCTTTGGATAGTCAGGCCCTATGCTTTGAAGGCTTTTTATATGCGATGACCAATATCTTGGATTGAAACCAGAAGCTCACTGGCAACCTGTGCAGCCAACATAGCAGACATATTAGTGGTAATTGATGATATCAAAAGCTACTGAGAGACTAAGGAGAACCAGATTATCAACAAGTGAATTTAATGCTGTCTCTTCCTCAACAAGGTTACCCAAAAATAGGGAAGATTGGAGAAAATTGTACAGAACCATTTAGTCTAGTGATGACCTTGAAGAGAGGATACACATCTTTTCTCAAGGATGAATTTATGGCCACATGGATTCATCTAATGGTATACATTACTTTCTGGGAGGCCTTAACTAATCAGGGAAGGATATAAATCTAATAATGGTCAGACTAAGAATTGCAAGTATTCCTCCTCAGAAATCATACAAAACTTCCAATCCAAAACAGGGCAAGACGATGCCTTGGGCAGCTTGACAGGACCTCCTAGTCAGAATAATCAGAATTGCCTGTCAGTTATTTGTGGATATGACAACAGCCAAATAATAACTGCTTTTTGCCTTTTAGAAACATGATGTAATCTCTAATACGAACTCTTACATGTTTGTTCTTCCCCCCCCCCCCGCAGAGCAGGGGTCGCCAACCTTTCTGGGTTGGTAGCCTGGTGGGAAAGGGAGGGACAGGCACCTTTATGTACATATGTGCACACATGCAAATGTGGCTGCATGCGCATACACGCAAATGGGGTTGTGAGCATGCGCACTCCACAAATGGGGCTGCTAGTGCGGCGCATGGCTCAGCTAGCATTGGTGTGCGGCTCGGTTAGCGCCGGGGAGAGACTTGTGGCTCAGCTAGCACCGGCAAGAGGCACGTGGTTCAGCTAGCGTCGGCGTGCGGCTTGGGGCTCAGCTAGTTCTGGCAAGAGGCTCACAGCTCAGTTAGCACCAACACGCAGCTCATGGCTCGGCTAGCACCGGCACAAGGTAAGCACATGCACATGTGCGAATGCACTGGACACCCACTCACGCGGCCCGGTGGCCAAGAGCCCATGGCCCTGTAGTGGGCTGCAGCCCATAGGTTGGGGACCTCTGCCCCAGAGGAATTCTCTTCAGTCATTTTATCTCCCAAAATAATCCAGAGTTAAGTCATTTAAGCTTTTGTGGGCTGCAACAAGTACTCTGTATTTTCTCCAGGATCATATTGGCAGCTTAAGTTTAAGATTAGAATTGCTAATTATAAAGAGAAAATCAGTTTCTGGTTGCCTGCTTCATTATAAAAAAGGTTCATATATGCTATTTGTCTAGACCAGGGGTAGGGAACCGTGGCTCTTTTATGACTTGTGGACTTCAACTTCAGCTGTTTCAGGAATTCTGGGTATTGAAGTCCACAAGTCATAAAAGAGCCAAGGTTCTCTATCCCTGCTGTAGACATTTGTATCTTATATTTACCTCATCAACTGATACAGATCTGGCAGTGTGAACACCAACTGGGTACTTCACCGGATTCTTTAAAGCTTCCCTTTTTATCAACCAAGTAGCCAAGAATCCTCCACAGATTTCCATCCCTCTGATCTCTTTGTCTTGGCCTGTCTTGGCCATAACACTAAAAACTATTTAATCCCATGCACTCTAAATTCTGAACCCCATAGCAGTCTTTATGACTCAGCAGAATTGTCTTTTAAGACAGAAATCCGACATGTTTGTATATGTGTTTCGTTCTGTGTATTTAAGACTGAAGCTTAAAGATACTTTGTCTTTTTCTAACTCTGTTCTTTTCTAGTGCTTAGATCTTGTTTTGGGGGGACAGCTGCCTGACTTCTTTTCTTGAACTACCTCATTAGCTCCATTCCCATGAATTTGCTGAGTATCTGAGAAAGGTCTAGACTCTAGGCCATCAGAAGTCTATCATCTCAGAAGGGTTGAAATCTAAGCTAGCTCAGATCTTACCAATACAGCTACATAGCTCCAGCCTTTTAAGCAACTATGCAAAGTGTCACTGAGCACTCTTAAACCATTAAAACTACTGAAAGGGCTCCAGCAGGAGACTGGCTTATTGCATGGAAAGTAGAAAGCCTCATGTGGATTACTAAGCCAGGGGCAATGGGAGGGGATCTGCTTGGGGGAGGAGAGGAGCGAGGTATGTATCAGGATGCCTAATACCATGTTTCTCTGAAAATAAAACCTGGTCTTATTTTTATTTTATTTTTGTCTCCAAAAGAAGTACCAGGTCTTATTTTTGGGGGGTATCTTTTCCACGGTCTCATCTCGTGGCAGCGGCACCGACAGCCCCACCCAGCTGGCCCACTTCTTCTGCGTCTGAAGGAAATGCCTCTGCAGCTGAGAATGGAGCTCTGGATTGACACGCATGGCACCCCCAGCCTGCATTTTGCTATCAGAGGCCTTCCGGAAAGGCCTCTACAGCCAAGCACTGAGCTAACGGATTGAATCTAAAGCTTGGTTCTTGGCTGCAGAGGCCTTTCTGGAAGGCCTCTGATGGCAAAATGCAGCCCGGGGGGAATCTGGAGCTCCCTTCTCAGCTGCAGAGGCATTTCCTGAAGGCCTCTGATGGCAAAATGCAGGCTGGGTGTGTGTGTGTGTGCCGCAGAAGTGGCTGGTGAGGCAGGTGTCAATTTATGGGAGGCCTGGCTGCAACCGTAAGTAGGTGTGGGCCAAGTGGGGCAGCTCCACCACCCCCATCCTAGCTTGATTTTTAGGTGTGCACCTCACCCCAAAACTAGGGCTTATTTTGGGGGGTAGGGCTTACATTAGGTCCACCCCAAAAATCAAGCTAGGTCTTATTTTCAGGGTAGGTCTTACTTTCGGGGAAACACAGTACCAAAGCCCAAACATCCACTTTGGTTTGCCATCTGAAGGTGAGAGATGCTATCCAAGGCCTCAAAAATAACAATGACTTCATACTCAAACAAGCTGACAAAGGAGGGTCAGTTGTCTTCATTAATAAGGAGAATTATGTCAATTGGCTGATTTCACATGTTGCATTAAACCAAATCTAAACCACATTGTAGCTTGATGTATGAATTCAATAAGACTCAATTTTAAATCAAGATGTGATACTATGAAATATTAAATACATGCCAATATTCCCTAACATATAGCTCAAAGAAAGATAGTAGTATAGTAATATTAGCTAGAAAGTGATGTTAACATTTATAAATAACATCGGGGAAGACATAAGGTTGAGGTTATACATCACCTGACCCATGGTTTCCTTAATTATGGCTTATTGAATAACCTACACATAGCTGGATGTCTAAACCACATATTCAGCAATGTAGTGAGAAGTCTATTTCTGATGCTACCACTTGAATTTTCCTATATTAACCTGTATCCTCAAAGTACAGTATCTAGCTCACTTTGTTGATTCCAAGTATACACCTCTAGTTAAATAGTGATTGAACCAGGCCAGCCATACATATGGAACAATGTCTTTAACTTTCTCTTTAAAAGGTAGCAACAGTTTTAAATGTTTACACAAAGGTGAAACATAATCAAGCAGACGACCCTTTTATTTTTCCTTCCTCAAGTCCAAGCTTCCAATGGACAGGTTTGTTCAATAATGCAGTGCTGTGGAAAACAAGGAAAAAGACAGCAACTGAGATGTCCCAAAGAAACAGCGGGTGTAATAAGAAGTGCAGGATCAGCAGAGGACATTGCAGGGACCACAAACAGTTCAAGGAAGTCCAGGACCCGGATAGTTGTTTCAAGACCTCAAAATGCTGGTTCTAAAACTCTGAACAAATCAGATAAAATGAGGTAGAAACTAGAAGGCAGGAAGATACTACAGTAACAATATAGTAAATGAAAGCAAAACCATAGGCAGCCTTAGTAACTAGGATTTAGGAATAATATATAAGGTATTGGCCTAGAAACCAGCAGACTGAGTTCTAGTCCTCCCCCCACATGAAAGGCAGCAGGGTGACTTTGGTCTAGTGACTCTCAGTCCAACCCACCTCACAGGGTTGTTGTTGTTGTGGGGAAAATAGGAGAAGGGAATATTAGGAATGTCAGCCCCACATTATTTATCAAAATAATAAAGGCAGGATATAAATACATGCATACATACATAGCAATGACAGCTCCATTTTCTCCCACCTTAATACATCTTGTTTAACTCTGGTCCTTGTTTAACATAATAGTTTTGAAATAACACACAATTTGTATTCATTGGTGATACCCAAGTATTTTACCTTTTCCTCCATTTTAAACCCATTTTATTCAATATTTTATGTCCTTCAATCTCTCCCCCCCCAAAAAACAACCCCCGGTGAAGGACAAATCATTGTAATGCAAAGGAGCACAGAAGACACAAAATCCAGTTAAAGTAAAAGAAGTAGATTAGAGCCAATACAGGCAATAGCTTCTGAGGTGAGCAGAAGAGTTCACTAAAAAGCTTATTTCCACCTGTAATTTATTGTAGGGAATGGATTAAGTCCATTAATTAATGTTGTTGCTGCAACGCTTCCTTTGGCTCCGGCAATGAAGCTTTTGTCCCTCTCTTTTAAGGCTGTTTCTTTACTTTTAATGCAGTAAACCAAGACAGAAGATCTTCAGTTTCCCTGAAGCTGCATCCACATCCGAAAAGGGTGCAGCCATACTGGTGCAAAAACATGGTTGAAGCCATCAGTCCTTTCACCATTCCCGACATTCCTGAAGGACACTAAAACCAGAACCCACCACCTTCTAAAAAATTATACAGATAGTCCTCGACTTACAACAGTTCATTTAATGATTGTTTGAAGTTACAATGGCAATGATAAAAGTGATGTATGACCATTTTTCACACTTATGACCATCCCAGCATCCCCAGGATCACATGATCACAATTAGAATGCTTGGCAACTGGCTCATATTTATGACCATTGCCGCGTTCTGTGGTCACGTGACCCTCTTTTGCGACCTTCTGACAAGCAAAGTCAACGGGGAAGCCAGATTCACTTAACAACCCTGTTACTGATTTAACAACTGCAGGGATTCACCTACGAAACGTGGCAGAAAAATCGTAAAATGGGGCAAAACTCACTGAACAAATTTCTCAGCAACATAAATTTTGGGCTCAGCTGTGGTCGTAAGTCGAGGACTACTTGTACTTACCTGCAAAGCCCTAGAGCAGTGTTTCTCAACCCTGACAATTTTAAGGCATGTGGACTTCAACTCCCAGAATTCCACAGCCAGCAATGCTGGCTGTGGAATTCTGGGAGTTGAAGTCCACATGCCTTAAAATTGTCAAGGTTGAGAAACACTGCCCTAGAGGCTCATCTTCACTAAGGGGGGTGAGGCCAAACCCGAGCTTTTGTCTTTATTTCCAGAAGGCAGCAGCTTTCCTCCGCTTTGCTTTCTTCATTTCCCCCCTCCAGTAAAAATAACCCCACCAGCTTTTTTGACCTGGAAGCCCGCCCCTCCGACACCGAATTCTAACGTTCCCGGAAGACTCGCAAACTCCGCGTTGCGTGGCAACCGCCCGCCAAGCTTTTCACCGGAAGCGGAAATCATTTGGGTCTGCTCGCCACTTCCTCGCTGAGAGAGAGAGAGAGAGAGTTGGGCGCGAGCCGTTGGCTGCGTTTGGATGGGCTCCTAGCAGCGGTTGCGTCCCTCCTGGCTTTCCTCTTCAGGCCTGAAGCGCAGCCTTTGGAGGCGCGGGGCTTTTCCCAGTCTCATGTATCCCCCTCGCAGCGGGAGGAGGAGGAGGAGGAGGCGTAGCCGGGTCGGTGGCGAGGGTTTGGGAGGCTCCGAGACAGTTCGGTTCCCCTCTTCCGTCCCACTCCTTTAGACCTCTTGGCAATTTCATCCTTGGGTGAAGGGTTTGGGCTAATTCCTTCCCTCCGTGGGGAGCTGGTGCCCAAAAGCCTCCGACATCGTGGACTGCGTCAGGTAAACGGGGCTATATTGTCAGGAAGGTGGGGTGAAGAGCCAAAGATTGCAGGGAGCCCATGTGAGCAAATGCGCCCGTGACTGAGGTTCGGTTGTTGCTATCCCGCGAACTTAGTGGCTCTGAGTGATTTGACGTACTGAACCACAAATTAGCCGAGCACATTTCAGCCTGTGTGGACTGTAATTGGATGTGGTTCAGTGGGTTGTGAACACACACACACACATGCACACATCCTGATTTACTGAGTCATGGGGGAGACTGTAGTACAGTGATGGCGAACCTTTTAGAGACCGAGTGCCCATACTGCAACCCAAAACCCACTTATGCATCGTCGGGGTGCCGGGTGGGTGTTGCCCATTGGGTGGGCGTGACTGCGGTGGTAACGGCAGACTGGGTGGGCCTAAAAAGTTCAATCAATCAATTCCAACTTTGCAAGGTCTTTTTTTTCCCGTGAGAAGTTGAAATTGACTGATTGATTGAACCTTTTTTTTTGCACATGGCGGCGGAGGCCTAAAGTGAAAAGGTTTTATAAAACCCAGCTGAAGGCATAGGACTGGGGCGATGCCGTGCGTGCCCACAGAGAGGGCTTTGAGTGCCGCCTCTCGCACCCGTGCCATAGGTTCGCCACCACTGCTATAGTACAAACCCAGCTAGAGGTACAAACTTTTGAGTGAGCGTGAAATAATTCAGAACTAAAAGAGTTATCCTACCTGCATTTTCATAGAACTAAGACGATCACTTATTGGTTAGCTGTAGCGTTTTTGCTGGGAACAGTGGCTTCTCCCCCTCTGATTGGAAAATTCTAAACAACTCTTATACATATTTATACTGAGAAAAAAAAGCTCCTTATGAATTAGGATTAACTGTATTTAAGATTGCATTAGTAATTTTGGGGGTTGTGATCACATTTTCTATGCTCGATTCACTACAGATTGGGAATGACTGGTAATTATTTATTTGCCTGGTTTTTGTGATGATTTGATAATTAAAATAGCATTGACGTACTATTGAAATGTGTTTGAAAGTGTTGTAGGTAACACAGACTTGTGATATTTTGATTGGACTGCTGAAAGCAAATTCTCTGGAATGGTCCAAAGAGAAAATTTCCATGAGTTTGTGAGTACTTCTTTTTGTTACATCTAGGTATTTTTGTAATCGTTTTCAGGTTCTGTTCTGTGGGGGACTTGAAGACCATCACAAAAATATCCTAAGTGTAACAGTGTGAATTAATGTCCTGCATTTAATACAAGTAGTCCTCAACTTACAACCATTCATTTAATGACTATTCAAAGAAAGTGAAAAAAATGACTGATGTCCATTTTTCACATTTATAACAGTTGCAGAATCCTTGTGATTACATGATCAAAATTCAGACGCTTGGCAACTGGCATGTATTTATGATGGTTACATGTCCTAGAGTCTGACAAGCAAAACCAACGGGGAAGTCAGTTACTTAACAACCTTGTTACTAATTGAACGATTGCAGTGATTCACTTAACAACTGTGGCAAGAAAGGTCGTAAAATGGGGCAAAATTCACTTAACTGTCTTGCTTAGTCAAGATGGAATAAATTTTGAGTGCTTCCTTTTAGGAGAGATGAATTATCTTTTAATTTGTGAATGCTATATTATGAGTTTTGCTCTATTGAAAATATAAAGTAATTCTGGATTAAACATTTATGGTGTTTGTACTGTCAGCCATACTTAGTATCTGCTGACCAACTAAGGGTAGGTATATTACTGGTGGATTCATTGTATTTTCTGTATCCCTCCTTTTCTCTCTCCCTATTCTGAAAGGTATAAAGGGAGGAGGACAAAAAACATTTATTTCCTGAGGGGAAATATTTTGTGTGATGTTTGATGGCCTTTTAAAGTTATGAATACAGTGATAGCATTCTATATATTTGATATAATATAGTCCTGTCTTTCTGAACATTTTTTTCAGTGTTCTTGGATAACACATCTGCATAGTTTATTGACTGAGCACAATGAGCAGTGAAGAAGAAGCATGGGAGAAATTGGATTCAGAATTTGACCATTATGTTGTGGATATGAAATCTTATGTTTTAAAACTACCTCATAAATCAGGTAAATAATTAGACAATTGATGCATTTCACATTTTCCATTATATAAAAGCATAACTAAGTAAAGTAAGTAATAATATTTAACTTTTAAAATTACTGGAATACATGATTTGGAAGAAGCTTACATGCTAGCAGATATACAATTTTTCCTTATTATTTTCAGTGCAAAACACAAAAATAGAATAAAGTGTTTTTGAGATACATAGAATTCAGTTTTTAGTTGATAATTTAGAAAATATTTTCTTTGATGATGTGATGTAGGCTCCAGGTATGGTGAGAGGTCTAGTGTTTTAGTGAAGGTGAAAGAAGTGTATGAGTATATGCGTGTGTACACACACACATATATTCCTTTTAATCTTGGGATGTCCACATACAGTAGGTATCTCTGAAAACTGTTCAAAGCAGATAGAGATTTTCTGCCATTGTAGTAAAAAAAAAAAGGTTTGTAGAGACAGTACTAAAGACAGTACTAATCGTATCTCCTGGAATGAGAGAGGAACCAAGTTAATTGCCATGATACCCTTTGCTTTAGCAAGAACCTGATGTAACTGAACTGTTCTAATAGTACAATACTGTAAAGTATTCAAATTCTACTAAGAGATTGCCTGCGATATTTAAATAAAAAAATGTAGAGGAAAAAGTTTGGTAAAGAAAAACAACCTTCATCTTTCACTATATTTTCGTATAATGTTATTGTCCAATAATTTTTTCATTGTCCATAATTGGCTGGTACTGAGTAAATGGGAGACAGAATAGAATAACTCCACTGCCAAGTTAGAAATTATGAGAAAGATAACTTCAACTTAATTTTAATTTCAGTAGCGGTAATTTAGTTTGTCAATTTGGGATAGTGCCAGTGAGATTTTAGAATGTATTTGTCTAGTCTCAAAATAAATATAGAAGAAATTATGCCACTTCTAACCAAGTAAACTGGTTGCTGCATATGATGGTAATGTGAAATAATAACAGGGTGTTTGTTTGTTTTTAAAAAAGAGTATACTGACTGAAGAGTCTGAGGGAGCAAGAACTACAGGTCTAAAGAAGTCTGAGGAAATATATATTTTGCAATGGGCAAAAAAAATAGAAACATAGAGGAAAATAGTATTATACAGAAAAAATAAATTAGTATAAAATGATACCAGTCAAAATGATTGCCAGATTCTAGGCAATGAACAAAGTGGCACTAATGATAGAATATGAAGTGTAGAAACTCCAACATGGAACATATGGCTCAGTTACTGACAAAAAGGGATATTTAGGAAGAAAGCACAAAAATAATATTACTTTAAATCAACCAGGTTTACAGATTTAAAGGAACAAAGCAGGCTGAGAAAATTAGAGATGAAAAAAAGCCGCAGAGAGAAATAAAAACTCTGCAGTTTTTACATGGAGTGAGAGATATAAGTACTCTATGTTAACATGCAAATGTTGCGGTTTCAGGTTCAGTTGAAAGCCTTTTGCTTTCTATAAGGAGTTTATCATTTATTAGCTTTTCCGTGGACATTTGAAGAGTTATAAGTTGAGAGATAAGGACTTCAAGAAATTAACTCCAAATTTGATTACAATACTCTTTATGAAAAACGAACTGCTTTACCGTTATTTAAGAAAACTGTAAACAGAGTTTATAAAGGAGCCTTTTTTTAAAAAAAATACTTTGTTCAAACAAAATACTTTGTTTTATATGGTATCTCAAATACAGTGCAGTTATAAAAAGTGATAGAGCAAGGAAGGTGGTCAAAAGATGGTGGCATTGCAACTCCAGAAAATTCTGATTAAAATGGATTATCTGTACTCCTTTTCGGTCAGCAATCAGACCTGGATATAGTACAGACTTGGCATTGGTTGCACTGTTAGATCTGGCAGGAGCGGGATGGTACATCCATCCTTGCTCCTCTTGACCTCTCTGTGGCTTTTTCATTACTGTCGACCACAGTATTCTTTTGGGCCAACTTAGGGAAGTGGGGGTGGGTGGCACAGACTTTTGCTGGTCTACTACCTTTCTCCAAGACCAGTCCCAATTTGTTTTGATAGGAGATGAGAGGTGCAGTTCCACAGCCCCTACTTTGTAGGTGCGCAGGACTCAGTGCTCGCTCTCCTCCTTTTTGATATGTAACTGTTGAATGAGATCATCTATCACCATTGGATGAAGTGTCATCAGAATGCTGATATATACCTCCATCCTGGGTGAAGTGAGTGAGATGGATGTTCTTTTGCAGTGCCTGAGTTATGGGGATCTGGATAGGGAACAACATGCTTCAGCTGAACTTTGGTAAAGTGGAGTGGTTGTGGGTGGGTGAGGAGCGCTCTGTTTATCATCTTTGGTCTTGGATGGTTTTTCATTACCTCAGACAGGTGCGTAATCTAGGGGCCCTCCTGGACTCAAGGCTCTTGCTCGAAGAGCAGGTAACAGTCGTGGCTAGGAGAGCCTTTGCTCAACTTCATGTTGTGTGCCAATTACACCCATTCTTGGGTAGGGAGGCTCTTTGCTCAGTCACTCACACTCTGGTCATCTCCTATCTGGACTAATGCAATGTGCTCTAGATGGGGTTACCCTTGAAAAGTATCCATAAACTTCAGCTAGTACAGAATGAGGCTGTGTGAGTTGTTGTGGGTGCCCCAAGAATAGTCCATGTAACACCTCTGCTGCACAAGCTGCACTAGAGACTGGTTTGTGTCTGGATCCAATTTAAGATGTGTTTATGATTTTTAAAGCCCTACATGGCATGGGACCAGATTCCCTATGGAACTGTCTTCATCCCATTATATTGGTCCATCCCACCCAGTCAGGCAGGGAAAGTATCTGCAGACCCGGTCAGTTAAAGAATTGCAATTGGCAGGGCCCAGGAAAAGAGCTTCCTCTGCCATTGGCCCCTGCCCTTTGGAACCTTCTCCCCCCAGAGATGAGGCAGGCCCAACCCTCCTGATATTTTGTAAATGCTTGAAGACCTTGCTCTGTTAACTTGCTTGGGGCCCACAGAGAGCTAGCTAATACTCAGAAGCCCCTCCTCCACCTTTATAATCTTGAATTTTAACTATTCCTATGTTTAATTGTTTTTATTATATATAGTTTGTATATATAAATTATTATTTTGACTGTTTGTACACTGCCCAGAGTTGGTCTATGAGGAGATGGGTGGTTTTTAAATATGATTATATAAATAATGTGGTAGACAGTTTGGAGAACACCAACATGCCTAAGTTAAATTTATTTTTATTTTTAATTTATTTTATGAGATAAAAGATAAGAATGAAAGAATAAAAATTAGGGAGCTCGATGCAGTGATGAGAGCAGTTGGATAGAGAGCAATCATTGGCAAATCTGCGGTAAATAAAAGGAATTATTATTTAGTTCAACTTGAAAGAATGATACACAAAGATAACAACTTTTTGTTTGGAAAAACTGTTAAATTCTCAGAATCTTCAGAGGGAAAGGATGCAGTAGTTAAATGTAGCAAAAAGAAGCTGATTGTTATTTGAAGAGGCCAGTAACAAAAACTAGAGATATACAATGTTTAGATCCAAAGGAGTCTCTTCTCTGTACTTGTTGGCTGTTCCTTAAAAGCACCACGACTGTTCTGTAGCTCACATGGTAGTTGCACAGCTCTGGAAAAATATGTGTTTGAGTTAAGTCATTAAGGAGGCAGTAGCAGAATTTGACCATGTGCTGCTTTTGCTGCTCTGTGCCTGACCCTTAACATTCTTAACTCAAATGTATATTTTTCTGAGCCCCTGAGGTTAGCATGTGAGCCCAGGAAAAGGTGCTTTAAAAAGCATTCATCGGCTATTAAGAAAGTGTCCACTCTGAATCTAAAATACCTTTGCCTGCATAGGATGTGAACACTGCACACTTGGATAGAGAATGCTCATTTAGATTGTATCTAAATATCACAGGTGACAAGTAACTATAGCTGTTTTGACTTTTCTCTGCACCAGTGGAGGATATTGCATCCCTGCCATGCTTTTGCTATTTGAGGGAAAGTAATGAAGCAATTATGATACAATGTACAAATATGCAACTATTTCAGCAATCAACATTCTTGAGAGCAATCTTGCATGTCCCCCAATGCATTCCTACTGTAGCTTTAAGAATGGAATTGGAAGAATGGAGGTTAGATCTATATTGTTACTTTTAGGTACTGGCTGAAATTAGTATTTAATTTAGCCACCTTAGTTGCTCTGATAGCAAGAGATAACTTCCGTTCTTTGTGGAAAACAGGCATTAGAAATAAATTGACTCTTTCCTCGGATGCCCTGCAATCATTGGGATACATGCCAAAAATATTGAACATACCGTGCTTCCTGGAAAATAAGACCTACCCTAAAAATAAGACCTAGCTTGATTTTTATGTGTGCCCCTAATATAAGTCCTACCCCCAAAATAAGCCCTGGTTGTACGAGGTGGGGCGATGTGCACGCATAAAAATCAAGCTGGTTTGGGGGGTGGAGCTGCACCATGTGCCCTGCGCTTGCTTACCTTAGGACCGCCGCAGCCAGGCCACCCATCCCCTGACACCTGTCGTGCTACTGCCTGAGTTCTTTTGCAGCCACTTGCGGCCAGATGCCACATGGAGCATCATGCCGGGGCTGCTGCTCATGGCAGGAGGCTGCGTGGCGCATTGCACCATGCCGCACGGGAGCGGTGGCACCGATGTGATGTGCCACATGGCCTCCTGCCACAAGCAATGGCACCGGCACCATGCACCACACGGCCTTCTGCCACAAGTGGCGGCACTGGCTTCACGCACCATGTAGCGTCTGGCCGCAAGCAGCACCGGTGCCAGGCACCACGCGGCCACAGAAGAATTCGAGCAGCGGTGCGACAGGTCTTGGGGACTGGAGGCCTGGCTGTGGCGGTCCTAAGGTAAGCGGGTAAGACATTCCCTAAAAATAAGACTTGTTGTCTCTTTTGGTTTTATTTTTGGGGAAACACTGTAAAATGAACATTAAAAGGCAGCAAATGATTATTAAAGATCCAAAGTGATTTAAAATGTGGCGTTATTCCCATAATGCTACTTAGATTCCATACTTTTTGAGCCTAGTTCAGCATCACCCATCTTTAATTACCATACCGTTCTCCAAGGTTGTGTTTCTCTCTCCTCTTTCTCTGTCTCTCTCTGTCTCTGTCTCTGTCTCTCTCTTGTCTCTCTCTTACACACTTGACTCCTTGAAATAGATTTGCTTTTTTTTCTTACTAGTGTTAAAAAAACCTCCTTCTAATAGATATTGTTTATAATTGATTTGAGATGTTAATTTCTTGATTAGTGCAGGGTTTCCAATAAAACATTTTCCCTCCTCACAATTTCATATTAGTATTAGTCTATAATGTGAATTTCTCACATGAATTCGTGGGGGTCAAAATGTATTTGCTTCCCTGTGCCTAATTCCTTTGAATGTTGAAAGAGTCATTCATTGCTTACTGAAGTGATATAAGAATTTGTCTAATTTTCAAAGGAATCACACTTTAGCCATCTAAACAAGCCCAGAAAGAATTATTTTCTTTTCACATGAATAGATACATCAAAATAAAAACCCAATGATAGAACTAAAAATTTTGTAAGTTAAAGATGCCATCCTGATCAGAAAACCTGAATTTAATTGAAGAAAATTAAAAAAAAACCATTATCCTGCCACGGAAACTTTATTAGTAGTTTATCCACCTGTATAAAATAACAATAGGAATATATCATGTATCAATATAAAGTTTATAGTTATTTAAAAATATAACCTCTAAATTACAGGTAGTCCTTGACTTACATCAGTTTGTTATAACAGCACTGAAAGAAGTGACTTATGATCTGTTTTTCACACGACTGTTGTAGCATCCCCATGGTCACGTGATCAAAATTGGGCTGCTTGGCAATTGGTTCATATTTATGACCGTTGCAGTATCCCGGGATCATGTGATCAGCTTTTATGACTTTCTGGCAAGCAAAGTCAATGGGGAAGCCAGATTCACTTAACAACTGTTAAGTGTTAGTAACTTAACAAGTACGGTGATTCATTTAACAGCTGTGGCAAGAAAGATCATAAAATGAGCAAAACTCACTTAACAAACGTCTTGCTTAGCAACATAAATGTTGCGCTCAATTGTCGTAAGTCGAGGATTACCTGTAATCTGTATTGTAGGAGGGATTTCAGTGATATTATTTTAGGTCTGCGGAACTAGAAGGAACCACATTGATAAATTAAAAATAATCGTGGGCTGCAAAGGAATATCTGGTGTCCTGATTGACTGTTTGCCGGTTAGCAGAGTGGCAGCAGTGAGTCATTGGAGGCACTTGGCAGCATGTCTTTTGGGATGGCAGCTTTGATGAATGTACTGAAATTTTCAAAAATGCCAGTGGGCGGCACAATCCACAAGGTGGATTGCAAGTTGCAGGTCTGCTCTAGAGTCAGGAGATTTAGGCATTATGTTTTACAAATTTGAAGATTTCCCTTTGCCTGTTTTGCCAATTGATTTAAAAATGTTTAGCACATAACTATTTTCTTTGATTTTTTTTTTAAAAAGAGTCCTTATTTAGAAGTAAATGTATTCAGGCTCTCAGCAGCTTAATGATTTTTGTGTTATTAGGCACTTAAGGATAATATTCTGCATAATATTTTAAGCAGTAGGCTTGTTTCGTAATTTTTATCTTTTGTCTTCTTCAGAACGTTACAGATGTGCTGTTTGGATTAAAAAACTTTGTGAGCCTTCAGGTGCTGGTACAGGAATTGTTGGTAGAAAGAATAGAAACTTATATGCAAAACTGCTTCTTCATATGCTAAAGCGAGGAGTGCTGGAAGGACCGTTTACACAAAAACCTGAATCAGGCATATTGAAAACACTTCCATCATACATGGTAAATATATAATTCTTTGCGACAGTTTAAAATCGGTATGTTTCATATTTCTATTTATGGGAAGAGAGAAATGATTAGGGTTTGTTTTATTTATTAATCCAATTTGTATGGCTGCCCTGTTATTCAGAAACTGGGGTTAATGAGCAATCCCTTCACCTTGAGAATTAGGCTAAAAGAAATAAATTAAAACTGCTTTGAGGCACAATAAAAATGCGAAACTATGTCAGAGCTCCCATAATAATGTCCCAAACCAATGCCTGGGTTTACTCTAGAGTCTAGATGCTTAGTTGAATAATACATCACAGGATGATATTACCACTAATTTAGAACAAAATAGTATTAACATTAAGAACTAAAATATGATTTAGAACTGTTAAACATGATAAGACGCATAAAGAAAATTGAGGGCAAGGAAAGATAGCAAGGATGCTGCGCATGACCTTGTTGCAAACAACTGTAAAACAGATCTGAAGTATAAAGAGGTTACATGGCTATTAATTGCTGTCATATTCTGGAGGTTATTTCAATAATTTTAATAACATCTGCAGTTTTTCTTAAATCTTGATCTGATGAGAGATGTTGAACACAGAATTCATAGGATTCATCAGGGAAAGTTTGAATTCCGGGACATTAGTAATGTCTTGGGCACTTTTGTAGAAAACATAGTATGAGAAGATATGAGCCAAAGATTTTACTTCTGCAATATCAAAGCAGACAGAGCTGCATGTTTTTGAATATGCCTCAGTTTATTGATATTACAGTACAGTCATGACAGTTGTAAGAGATTCAGGTATCTTAATAGGGAAGTTTGTAAAATATATATCCTGTGCACATTTGAATAAATTTCTGATTTAAACTTGCAACAAAAGGTTTATTAATTGGAAACTGAGATGAGCTACTGTGTCAAGAGCTCAGGTCATATATTATACTAAATGATGGTTTGTTGAATAGGTCCAATGACTACCTAGTATTTAGAGTTATTGTGGAATTTATTAAACAAAGTAAGGATTATTTCTGGAAACTTACATTGTGAAACATGTTTCAATATTCTCTTCTGAAAATCTAGTCAATCTATTTTGATGAACCAAGTTCAAAAAGAGCTTGGAGTAACATGCCAGAAGATTTACGTGACTGGGTCATGGAAGAATTGGGCCAAAGTGACTATAAACCAGATGAATCCTGGAAACTTTCCTTTAAAGAAGAGTCTGCTTTGGTTAGCACACCATCTAAACAGAGGTAAAAATTGGAGATGTAATAATAAATGCTAGACTGTTGTTCTTTATATTTTCAAAATGAGTAATTTTTAAAATAGATCATGGTTGTAGTTTATATTTTGAGAGACCTGGTTTCTTCTGATGTGGTAGATTGGCCTTTGTTATTTAATAGGATATCAGCTTATTAAGATGGCTTCATTTGTACTTAATGGCTTGTCCTTACTATTTGGTGGTTACATTTCTTTTTTCAGTACCATGCTTCATTTTTGCCTAAGTAATTGTGTTTTTACTGTCAGTGTGTTTTTACTGTCAGTTAACTGTCGTGTTTACATGATAAAAAGTTCAACGCAAACAATATGAGTGTCAGTTTGTTCTAGTGGTTAAGGCACCAGGCTATAAACCAGGAGATCATGAGTTCCAGTCCCGCCTTAGCTATGAAAGCGAGCTGGGTGACCCTGGGCCAGTCACACACTTTCAGCCCAACTTACCTCACAAGGTTGTTGTGGGAAAAATAGGAGGAGGAAAGTGTGTTGGATATGTTTGCCGCCTTGAGTTATTTGTAAAAATAATAAAGGTGGGATACAAACAAACAAAAAAACAAATAAGACAGGAGTGGATCACCTGCAGCCTTCAACTCCTCCTGTAGCTTTTGGAACCTTCAGAATTCAGTGATGGAATATCTGAATATCAGTGTCACAGTTCATGACAATTGAAGTTGGAATTATGTGACATAGGTATTGATTGATTATGTGTCATCAAGTTGGTGTTGACTCTTTGCAACCACATAGATAAATTTTCTTCCTGACAATCTGATTCTAACCTAGTCTTTCAGGTCTTCCAGTCGTGAATATTTCCATTGCTGCTATAATTGAGTCTAGTTACTGCTGTTGTCCTCTTCTCTTTCCTTTTACCTTTCTTGCTATAACAGCCTTTTTTTAGAGAACTGTCTAATGCAGTGGTGGCGAACCTATGGCATGGGTGCCAGAGGCGGCACTCAGAGCCCTCTCTGTGGGCACGCGCACCGTTGCTCCAGTCCTAGGCCTTCAGCTGGGTTTTATAAACCTTTTCGCTTTAGGCCTCCACCGCCGTGTGCAAAAAAAAAAAAGGTTCAATCAGTCAATTTCAACTTCTCGCGGGAAAAAAAGATCTTGCAAAGTTGAAATTGATTGATTGAACTTTTTAGTCCCACCCAGTCTTCCGTTACCACTGCAGCCACGCTCACCCAATTGGCCATGCCCATCCAATGGGCCACGCCCACCCAATGGGCCACACCCACCCGGCACTCGACTATGCTTAAGTGGGTTTTGGGTTGCAGTTTGGGCACTCAGTCTCTAAAAGGTTCACCATCACTGGTCTAATGTGTTGGATAATTTGAGATTGGTCATTTGAACCTCTAGTGAGGACTCTGGGTTGAATTGTTCAGCAATCCTTTTTTGTTTTGTTTTCTTGCCTGTCTATGGTAGTTTCAGGAGTCTTATTTTATTTATAAATTGTACTTAGGAGGCCACCCACCTCAGAGAACTTCACTCTGAACAATGCACAATAAAATCATAAAATAACAATACTAAATCAGAATGCCATTAAAATGTTGATGTTTAAAAAAAAGACTGGATGATACCACTGGACATTATGAACAAATACTCTCCAACACCAAAATTTAAAAACTGAAAGCTTGTTCCTTTATTGTTGATGGTTGATTCTAAAAGACCGAAGTTATCTACCACATTGATGTTTTCATTATAAATTCTAAAGCTGGTTGCCATATTTGCCAATAGTTTGGTCTTCTTTATATTTAATCTTAGTCCCATTTTTTTCATTATGCTCCTTGACTTTTATTAATAAACCTTGCAGAGCCTTTGCATTTTTGTCTGTTAGAATAGTATCATCAGCATCGTACAGGATAATATGCTTCTTCTTTCCATTTTAAATCTACACTAAAGGTAGTCCTTGGCTAAGAACCGTAATTAGGACCAAAATTTCCATTGCTAAATGATATGGTTATAAAGGTGTGGTGTCATGTGATTGCATCACTTAACAACAACACTTTTGGCAGTCCCTGTTGTTGTCTTTAACTGAATCCCACAGGTCGTTAGGGAAGGATTCACCCTGATCTGTGCCATTTGTAGCTTGGTCCCTCCCAGCCCTGAACTTCTGTAAGGTAAGGGACTGCCACCTCTTGAACTCCCCCCATCTGCTTATCCCCCCCCTCACAATCTCTGCCCTTTTCACTCTCTGCCTACCTGCAGATGCCAGCTGCTCCCAGTGCCCAGACAAGATAAAGTGTTTGATTATACTGTATAGTACAGGATGATGGTGTGAATGGACATCTTACTTTAAAATCATATAGGGAAATTGAAAATGCATTAATCAGTGCTTGAAAAACCCTTTTCCAAAAGTTTGCCAGTAATTTTTTTGGAGGTTCACGTAGAAACTATTAGAAACATAGCTTACTGAACTAAATGATGGAAAACAATAAATGGAAAATGTTAAACAGCAATTACATAAGTAAAGTACATTTTTTCTTTTGTTTTTCTAGTGCTGATGGACTAGTGTTTTAGGAACAAGAAGGGCAGAGAATAATTTTCTCTTTTCCAATTACCAATTTCCATTTAATAGTTGTGTAATTCAATGGAAGATGGCCATTCAAAAATATTAAATCGTCTCATTGAAATTAATAATTATTTCTTCCCAGAACCCATAATCATTTTGTGATAATGCAAAAATATATGTTTTAATGAGGCAGAGAGAAATTTAAATTTCTAGATTCTAATACAAATTAAAATAACTAGTTATGAAACTCTCCATAGTTACAAAAATAATATCATTATGGCACAAAAGTGATGGATAACTGGGACTTTAATTTATGTGTTTTAGGGTATTATAACTGCAGTGTGAATGCATATATTAAAGTTGAACCTTCCGGCATTTTGTTGTTGTTGTTCAAAGATGCTAATGTGGAAGAATGTGTCTGTTTGGAAAAAAAAATACAGTATGAGGATGCTAACTCTTGATTATTCTTTTGGGATGATCTAAGCTTCTTGCTTTTAAAAAGATATTATACATCCTGTATCTTTCACATTTGTATTTTTGTATGGACCTTTGGGTTTTTTTTTTTAAATAAAGCAAAATGACATGCTTAAATCTGTTTCTTTAATGAACTTTAATAGTTTGCTGCAGTTGAATTAATAAAAATAGTTTGAGGGCAGCTAGCTATTACTGGTACTCAGGGCTTTTTTTGTCATAGAACGCCCAGAATGGAGTTCCGGCACCTTTTTTGGATGGAACCTTGTAGGGTAGGCAAGGCGGGTTGTATGACCTGTGTGAGTTCCGGCATTTTTTTTTTTTTTTACAAAAAAAGCACTGCTGGTACTTGTTTCTTTGTGTAAGATGCTGAAATAAACAGCAGGTGGTAGTGGTGTACTGTAAAACAGAGAAAAGACTTCTTTGTGCTTTCTGAGAATTTTTTGAAGGAACATTGATATCCATTCCCTTTCTAGCTGGAATGATTTGCTGAAAAGCTTTATTAAAATTAGTGATTTATAAACAGTAAAATGACTATTCTAATCAATTCAAGCTATGTTTCACATCAGAAGTTGTTGTTTTGGCACACTAGAATTGTAATCTTTCTGTCATTGCTCTTTATTACTCTTCTTTTTATTGTGTTTGTGACAATGCATGTTCTACATGTGATCACATTTCTTGACGGAAATATAACAGTCTGTAATTATTTTGCTATGTCACTTACTGTTCTTTTTAGAATTATGTATCTATAATTAATTCCTAATAATTTCTTGACAGCAGTGGAAGTGTATAGATGGCCACTCCTAGTGTAAAAGCTAGAAGGGTTTCAGCCTGAAAGATTATGTTATCCTAATACCAATATAGCTGAATTTTAGATTAGTGAAAAGAAATCTAATTGCATCTAATTGCAGTCAAATTATGACATCCTATGGGTGTGGTTGCTCATGAAGTATATAGCAGTATTTTCTTTATAATGACTTCTCATGGTAAACCCTTTTATTACCTGATATAAAAATTGAGTATTTTTCCTTATAAGATCTTTAAAAATACAATTTTTTTTTTTAAAAAAGGCATTTGGTCTGTATAAGCACCTTTGGAGGAGGCACATCTTTTATATTATTAAATATTCTCTTTTACTGTTATCTTGGTATTTGTGCAGAAAGTTGAAAGAAGGCTATGAATTTTTACCTAAATAAATGTGAATGTGAATAAATGTGAATGAATGTGAGCAGTGGTTATTGATATTACATTGTAAACTCCATCCCTTGTGGCAGGGGTGGGCTGGCATGGTGGCTGGCTCACGAATTCTGGGAGTTGAAATCCACAGGTTGTAAAGTTGCCATAGTTGCCCATCCCTGCCTTGTAGGCATGCTTGTGATGTGGCAATGCACTTAAAAAATGGGGTAGAACTTGCATGGCAATATAATGCCTTTCTCCAGTTGATAAATTAAAGTTGTGCATCCTTTAAGAATGTATGTTTGGTACTCATATGAGGTCATTTTCAAGGTATGCACAGCAGTAATAATGTATGTTGGATGTCACTGGAGATTATTTTCCCTCTTTATGCTGCTGCTGTCTTGATAATTTTATCAAATAAATCATTCAGAGTGTTATAGTGATTAGATGCCAGAAATACAATGTATGCTGAATGGTCTTTTGTTGGTATTTGGTCTTTTGTTGGTACAGTACGAAAAACTACTTTGTATTTTAGTTTTTAAAGAATTCTCAAGCTCGTGTGGTCTATTGGGTTATAATGCAGCTTGTTCTGAAGCTAAGCAAGCCTGGATTTGGTTTAGATCTAGGTGGGGAGACCACTTGAGAATCTCATGTACATTTACCAACACTTATTATTTTTGCAGATATACAATGCCAAGAAAATGTTGTGGTTTAAGAAGGGAAATGCTGTGTTTGCACCTCTGGCTGCTCTAAAATACTTTTTTGTCTTTGGATACAAAGCATTTGATTACCCTAATATCTGTGCCAACCTGAGCTCCTGAAAAA